CTTATCTACTAAAATTAGAGTCAGGAATACACGATTGTAATTACGGCCTTTCATTAAGTAACAACTTGTAAAAAAGATTCAGCTGAAAGCTCTTATGGAAAGAGTCCACTTTTCTCTCTATAATGTGGCATTTTTCCGCTCCGCTGTAATAGCGATCCGGGTTGTAAACGGAAAGATAAGTCGTTCTTTTCACCGAGAAATTTGTTACAATCCTCGAAACATTTATACACATTAACATCGTGGGTTATTTATATCGTCTGGCCCCTTTTAACTTTAGGATTTTGTTTATGGCCGTATTTACTCTTTTAGATTAAAAGACCGAATTTGCAGATGCCGGCGAAGGGTTAGGGTTACACAGATTTACTGCTTCGGGAGGCAAAGGATATCCTTATCTACCTGCAGCAGAGTTGAAGAATGTTGAACATTATGGAAAATTTTGATGTGGTTATTGGAAAATATTATCCTATATTGGACATCCAAACTTTATCACTATTCTCAACTCAAATTTGTCACGAATTACAGTGTATCTTTCTTATTTAAACGGGTGTTTTTTTTTAGTGGTATAGGACTTTAAGTTGGCATTACTTTTGAAGATGGCGACCGATTTGAGTGATTTATTCTCAGTTTGGTTTGGCAATTCATCATGAATAGACTCACGCCTGAACAACGCTTGCAAATTGTGCAGTTTTATTTCGAAAATAATGGTTCTGTGCGGAATACGTATCGCGCACTACGTCCATTTTATCGTCGACAAAATCGTCCATCAGAGCAACGTTTTCGCACCACGTTTACTCTAATTAATAACTCGCATCCCAGGAGACGCCGTACGATGCGTAGAGCATAGCATTGAGAAAGACCCAAAAGAGTCCATCCGCCATCGAGCACAGGAATTGGATCTGTGTCCATCCACGTTATGGAAGATTTTGCGGAAGGATCTTGGTTTGCGTGCTTACAAAATCGAACTCGTACAAGAATTGAAGCCAAACGATCATCAAGCAAGGCGTAGATTCGTTGAATGGGCCCAGAACGAGATTGCCGTTGTTCCCGATTTTCATAAGCGAATTTTGTTTAGCGATGAAGCGCACTTCTAGTTGAATGGCTACGTCAACAAACAAAACTGCCGCATTTGGAGTGAAGCTAATCCTCAAGTCTATGTCGAAACACCGTTACATCCAGAAAAACTGACTGTTTGGTGCGCTTTATGGGCTGGTGGAATCATTGGTCCGTACTTCTTCAAAAACGTATGATGGCCAGAACGTTACAGTCAATGGTGATCGGTATAGAGCCATGATTACTAACTTTTTCATTCCTGAATTGAACAATCATGATGTCCAGGGCTGTGGTTCCAACAAGATGGTGCAACATGTCACACAGCTCGTGCTACAATCGGTTTATTGAAAGATACGTTTGGTGACCGCCTAATTTCACGTTTTGAACCTGTGAATTGGCGTCCAAGATCTTGTGATTTAACACCTCTAGACTATTTTCTGTGGGGCTATGTAAAGTCATTGGTCTATGCAGATAAGCCACAAACGCTTGACCATTTGGAAGACAACATTCACCATGTTATTGCCGATATACGGCCACAAATGTTGGAAAAAGTCATCGAAAATTGGACGTCCAGGTTGGACTACATCCGAGCCAGCCATGGCAGTCATATGCCAGAAATCATATTTAAAATGTCATGCCACTAGATTATCTTTCGAATAAAAAAAATTAATGTCAATCGAATAATCCATCGTTGTTTTATTGCAATTTAAAGTTCTATACCTCTAAAAAAAACACCCATTATTTTGTCAGCCGTGTTATCCTTGAATAGCATGGAATTTAACCTTCTTCAGTATACCTACATGTTTTGTGCACCGGACTAGAAACATTTTGTTATCAGTGCATATATTTTGTGTTTGTTATTATTTAATTTTTAATAATTTTGAAGTGGGGAATCTTTATTTTCAGACTAATTACCCATAATCTTAGGTCTATGTCTATAGTAATTACATTGTGCACCACGGAGATGTAGGGATTGACTCGTTGTAAACCTTCGGGTGTTTTAGGGTGAAGGACAGGATATGCTGTTTTGATTGCTATAAAGAACTTGATTAACCCATAATAATGATTTCTATTATGGTGTAACGAAAGTTGAGGAATTGGTTGGAATTCATCTTCTATTTTCTTGCAAAATACAAACAAATCCGCACATTTCAACAGGTATGTATCTATAATGATAATATGTAAACACTCGGTATGCAGAACTAAACACATTCGCGATGGCCATGCATTAACAAACGTTCAAACATGCTATCAAATTTAATAGCTAGAATATCGACCTATTATTTATCGCAATCTTATTGGAGAAGAAATAGATTCACCTATTATTTAAAAATTGATAAGAAATAGCGAGATACATGAGAGCTGTCATGTTTTCTCTGTACAAAAGTATCATGTTGGAATCAAAAAGTTTTCTTGTTTATAATACAATTGCTTTTGTCACGATTGTATTCAATATTTCAATAGAAATGATATGATATTCAGAGAGCTTTAACAGCTTCCGTCAAATTGCATTTCAATAAGCTATTTCCTAATTAGTCGAAGACCTTTTTAGATTTTAATTTCAGTGAAATCGAGCCTTATTTTTTTATTTGTAAGCGAGGTTCAATACTTCTTAGTACCAGTGTATGTTCACAATTTGGCAGTATCATCTATCGTTTCAGTCGTGACTCTAGAACCACCAAAGTTTATCAGAGTATCAGTGCGTGAGTGCAGAGCTAAGCTAAGCTTATCGAATCGTTTCAGTAAATTAGATTATTATTACACTCTACTACTAATGACCACTTAAAAGACATCATTTTATAAGACTGGCCATAATGCTCAAGGGGAGCATCTAAATATATACAGTATGTTAACACAACTATTACGCACCTCCTTACTTGTATCAAAGTAACTTTATGCGACTGAATTCATAACATGATAGAAAATGGCATAAACTCAATGTTTAAATTGACGCAGGATGCCCTTGCTGATACTTTACATCCTGGCACCTGCTGGTGTAACTCCATAATACAGCTCAGAAAATGATATCCTTTTTTTTATACTTCAACTACCACGAAGGCCTAAGGCCTAAGCACCCACTAGGGTACCGTGGGGCTATAGGGGGATACATGGAAAAGGGAGAACGCCACACAGACTCTGGCGAGGGAACACGTGTGCATGCAACATGCACACATTCTGGCGTTGCCTACGAGATCCGCCGGGTGGTACCTCCGCGTTCGACAGTCAGAGACCGTCTACTACCTACGGACAATCACAACATCCATAGCCAAGAGAAAAATTTCTCCTGGGACGGGACTCGAACCCGCACGGCGCACGGCGACTGATCAGGAGACCGAAGAATCTACTGCGGCCACCGCTGCTGCCTAATATCGGCATTCTAAATGATAATTAAAACTATTAATCCCTGACAGCTATTAATTTTATTTATTTATTTAACTTTTTTAGGGTCAGGTAGACATATTTTCAAAGCTTGTTGATATGCATACACCTAAAAGGACCGAACAGAAAAAAGGCAAATGTTATGTATCTGTAATGTTAAAGAACATCAATTTCTTAGTACCAATTCTATTGTTTTTGGGAGCATTAAAAACTTGTGATGATGACTGAAGCGCCACTCTTGTGGGTTTAAGAAGAAGAATATGAAGTTAGCATTTTGGTTGCATAACCAGAGGGGTCATAATAATATTCATCCTGTTGTTATGTTTTCTTCCCAAGAAAAAAACATTGACTACAATCTCTCATTCGTCAAATTTTACAATGTTTAGATTTATAGTTGCTCAGGGATTATGTGTGTCTTTCACCAAAAACTGAGTCTTTAACCTTAATAATAATGCCACCATTATTTTTACTATAACATAATGGGTGATATGCATAAAGGCGAGTGGCTACTTTGACTCGCATTTTTAAAGTAGCCACTCCATTTGATATGCATAAAAATGTAAGTAGAAGCTCACACTCATAAGTTTCTACTCTTTCCGTGAGGCTGTACTCGCTCCTTGAGTGCCGACTTCAATTTTTATATGCATAAAAGTGAGCGTCCACTCTGACCGCTGAGTGCATACTTAAAGAAATGCGAGATACCTTAGTAGTAGACTCAGCTTTATAAGAAGTGAACGAAATGGCCGAATTTATGCCTACTTATCAGCCTACGAAGGTGTTTAAAGATCGTAGGGAATTAAAGGAAGTAGACTATCGGGCCTTATATCGGTTTAGTAAAGTTAATGTTGAGTGGATAAGTAACCATTTTCTTGGAGAGACAGAAGAATATAGGGGCGGTGCTTTGAGCAATATAGAAAGAATGAGGGTTTTTTTACGATATGTGGGTGATCCAGGATTTCAAATTGGCATAGGAGAAGCTATTGGTGTCCATCAATCTACGGCATCCCGTACCGTTTCCAACGTTATAACACGCATTGTGCGGAAGTCGAGCATTTGGATTATATTCCCAACCACATGTGAAGATCTACACAATGCTAAAAATGAGTGGCAAGAAAAGTTCAATTTTCCTTCAGCTATTGGTGCTATAGACTGCACCCATATACCTATTCTGAACCCGTTTATTCATGCAAACGAATATGTGAACAGAAAGAACTTTGCTAGTATAAATGTACAAGCAACGTGCAATTCAAACGAAGAGTTCACATGTTTCTTGGCCAGGATCTGTACACGACTCTCGGATATGGAAGAATTCTGATATATGAAATGGAATAGGGCTAGTGCTGTTTTGTTTGGGAGACTCTGGGTATGTTATAGCTCTTTGGCTCATGACTCCTTTTAGGATTGCAGAAACAGCAGAACAAAGATCATACAATGGGCTGTTTACGAGAGAGCGAGTTATAATAGAGATATGTTTCGGGCAACTAAAACAGCGATTTCCCATTCCACATAACAAAATACGCGTCGATACAGAAAAAGTGCCCTCCCTTGTCATGAGTTGTTTTATCTTGCAGAATGTGGCTAAGCACCTTAATGATGAAGATTTTGCTGTTGATATACCGGGAGATGGCGAACAAGAAGAAATCCATAATCAACATGGTGCTGACTATGCAGATGGAGTGATACGTCAGAGAGGTCAATTTAGAAGAGATGCAATATCAAGAATTATTCATGGCTATCGGGTCTAAGTAAGTATCTAGCATGATCCAAATTTACAAATTATGTAGATATACGTCGAAGAACGATGTTTAATTACTCATAACAAAATTAATAACACTTTCAAAATGGCAACTTAAGAGAAAGTTCTTAAAATTAATAAAAAATAACATTTATGAAACATGAAGTACTTTTGTCAGTTCTGTCCTGGAAATAGGCTCATGAAAATTGGATTGCCAGTTTCTGCATTTTCATTTAAAGTTGATAAATTTGGATCAGATTCATTAATATTTTTCTTGTGAAGTAGCAGTTCCTTAGCTAGCCGAAACACTTGTATTTGTTCAAGTAAAACGAGACGTTGGAGCTCTGTTATTGATAAATCTCGTGCTTCATCAGTTTCCACTAATCCGTTTTCCTTTTTTTTAGAAGGCTCCTTACTGGGTCCGGCGTTCATTGTGGTAGCTTTCAGTACTGGTCCTGAACTTCCAGATGCTTCATCGGTGATTGTTTCTTCTTCAGCACAGGCTGTTGGAGTGTAATCAATGCTTTTTTGTGGGCAACCTGCCACAACAGCACCCACAATTTAAAATATATGCTATTTATATTTATTGAGATGTATATATATTATACTCAATCACATCTTATACCTACTGTATGGAAAAACAAAAAAATACAACTAACATTGCAATCGAGCAATACTAGGATTTGGTTCTCCTTGTAGAAAATTGAACAGTTCTTGTTCCCATCCTTTCAATTTTATTGGTTTGCTTCCGGTTTGATATCTGCCTGTCTTCGCTTTTAATCTGGTTTTTATGTTTTGAATCTTCTTACAAATCTGCCCTTCGTTATAATTAACTCCTAATTCGGCTTCTACCTTTTCTTTTATTTCTTTAGCCGCCTTACGTCGTTTATTTTTGATTTCCGGGATGTTAGATTTTTCCAACAAAACAGGATACTGTTCAATTATATTAACAAATACTGTTTGATTTTCAGATGAATGGTCTTCAGAATAGGTATAATCGACCTAAACACCACCGACACAAACGTTTACTGGTATACAGTAGTAACTGCTCGCAATAGGGAAATTGCCAATTCGACGAGACAACAAAATACAAGTCGGAACTCGAAAACCAGAGTGCGTACTCAAGTATTTCATTAGCACTTGAGTAGCCTCTCCGTTTCTCGACAAATATTTTATGCATATCAAAACCGAGTATGCTCTCCCTAACAGGAGTAGTTACTCGCTACAATATGGAGTAGCTACTTCTGAGAACCCACTCGCCTTTATGCATATCACCCAATGTCTGCCGTACACTATTCAAACATTACCATTTCATGATAGTATTTTCTCTATGTATTTTCAATTGCATTGTTTACGTGAAGCAAAGGATAAATAATTTTGTTTAGAGAGGTACTGATATAACCATGTACAACTTGTGTCCGAATCTCAACTTTAAACTTCTGGCTCATAGTTCAGATCGACTTTTGAATGGAGGCTACCCCTACAAAATTTCCCTCAATGTCAATGCCTAAAATTGATGTAGATTATGTCACAAATATTAGGTGATGAAAAACCACTCTAGATGTCAAAGCAATTTTTATTTAAATAAGAACTGAAAGAAAAACAACTAACGTAAGCATTATCTTTTGATATATGACCAGCTACTGTTGATGTATTATGATACACAAAAAAACAAAGGCAAAATCATTAGTAATTTTTTCCGTTTCATGGGCAAATTTCTAAAAAAGTTTTGGAATTCTGGTAAGCGTACAACGGGTGATGGATTTTCACATACCGAAATTACGGCAGTACTTCTTTTTTGTTATATAATACTCGTCCATATAATATTTTGCCCTTTCTCAGTTTGCCGTATGGACAACAGTCTTTGGAAAGTTTCTTGAAGTCATTCAATGTTATTACTAAATATTCAATTCAATTCAATGTTATTACTAAATAAGTTTGACGTCTTGTAGCCGATCGAAAAACCGGATAGAGTTGTGAGGGTTCAAAAAGATCTCCAGCTCGCAGTATAAATTGCACTCTGGGCAGAGTTTTCCTCACTTTGGCCATGATTCGATCACCGAGGTGCATATACTAACAAGGATTATTGCACACTAAGAGACCTATCTTCATTTAGGTCTCTTCGGTATTATATATTTACCTTTGCAGATGAATGTGTGCGTCTAACACGGCTTCAGCGGGGGAATAGCAACTATTTAAGGCGGCGGTGTCCAACCTCATCTATCAAAAATCGTTAAGCAGCTTAAGTACTTATAACAAAACGCTTTAACGGTCTACTGTCGTTGGATGTTCACAATGAGACAAAGCATTGATAGAACACCTTAATTGAACATAAGTAGAAATAACATCAAAATTCAATCAAATTAGTTACTAATTTGAGATGGAAGTAAATGCTTCCTTTAAAATATTGATGAAAACGCGTGTTTTCAAGCATTCCGACAGCTACACTCATCAAAGGTCAAAGTAGCTATAAAAATTATATAAACTAAATATTGCACTCCGCGAGCGATTAAGATGACGACCTTCGCCTGCATCATTTTGCTTTAAAACACCTTCCCATCTGCAAAACACTCTTTCTTGGCAACTCAGTTTCTTGAAAAGTCGTCAGAAAATAAACAGTGAAAGACAGCAGGCGAGCATCAGCAGCCGGTCTCCAAGTGGAGTCGTTGGTGCAGTATATCGACTTGGATGGCTACATCCATAATGCATGAGGGGAGGAGGATAGCGTTCTCTAATAACCGAGGAGACGTCCACACCCCCTGCAACCCCCGTTCTGCCCTGCCCACGTCGCCGGATGTATAATTTTTGCCGGACCTAGTGGCTCGGAAATATGTCCGAGAGCTTCACAAGTGGAGTTTCATGGAAATCGCCGTCTTTCATGTCGCGCGGTCCGTGGACGTGCGTTGATAAACAGCAGAGTTGGTCTGTTGAGATGTTCTGATGAAATATATTAAAGTGCTTGTCAACAATTGTGTACGGATATGATAGAAATGTTACAGCAATCCAATCATTTATCGAAACAGAACACGGCTACTAGCTAAAACCTCTATAGTGTTTCATAAAATAAAATATTTTGAAGTCAAGTTGACGGTTGACGGGGTCAGTCATTACATCTATCCTTTACTCGTTGTTGATTAATAACATCCCTAGCCCCAGTAACTCTCAAGACCATCAGACCATCACATACGATGATGACACTGCACTGGTGGCCCAGCCTTGGTCTGGTAATCTGCGCCATTCGAAAATAAGGGCCACCAATGGTACCAAGATGCAAAGCGATCTCCTTATCGTAACGCACGACATGAAGGTTCGCCTCGCATCGAGAAACATCGACCGCCATGTACATGGATTCGATGAAGACTCGAGCTTCATCTGTCAGCAAGTCAGCAGCGCGAAACGTGATAGTGCAGTCAACGGGGATATACATTTGTTATGAATGTGTTGCAAATGTTGTAATGAATTATTGTGAGATTAATAAATTAGATTTTGAATAGTAAAAACCTGACGTTTTCGTGGGACTACATAGTCGAATAAATTCGTATATATTGCAGGCCGCAGCCCAAGACTTGGGTCAACCGAGTATTCGAAAAAAAATTTAGAGAATTAAAATTATTCCACTCATCTCAACAATGTCTTCATTACCTGATATCTACTTATTTCTTACTCTCGTCTTTTACTTCTTTCATTATTTTTCATATACATGCTTGTACTTGTAGATTGACAGACTGACCGACAGACTTATGAATAGAGTGGGTAGCCGTAGCCTGCACTGCTCTATGATTATTTGCAGGATATTGAACTGATTTCGAAATCCAGGGTAGAGCTAGATTTTTTCACTGTTTTGTTTTGCATCAAAATCAATACCTCTCAAGTTAAATATTGAAATGTAGCAAGAAAAAAACTAATGTATGGTGCGGATTAATTAGCAAAATAGATTGATTTCGCCTCTTTTTGTTTTTCAGTTAAACATTTTTATCAATTGAAAGATTCAGTTTTTAGAAGTTTATGTGACACTAAACTCTAAATTGCAAGGGTTATTAAGTTGGTCTCTTAAATATTTTACAAATTTATGCTCAGAAATAAAGTAATGATGATTTAGAAAATTTCAGACCCAGTTTTATTTTTTATTATCTTGTATTTTATTAATTGGAGCGCCCTATAAGTTATATTCTGAACTGATTATTATACTGCAAAAAAAGAGCATTACTTAATACAGGTAAATGGGAAAATTAATTATATGCACCCTATTTACTTTTTTCGGTATTTTTTTATTATTTAGTAACACTAACTGATATTGTGCAGCAACAAGAATTCTGCTTAAAGTGGAAATGGTATTTAATGTGCAACAGCACTAAATTTGGCCTTCCAGACCAACTTGAAATTAAGATAAAACTATGCTGAAAATGCTAAGTCTGGACCTGTATATTAGGCTTTTCTACATTTCCATGATAATCTACAATTAGTCCATAGAGTCCAATTCAATGCAGTTGCGGTTTACCTCTAAAGCAGGACTCATGTTGTATATCATTAGTTGGTAGAATTGAATCATCAAAGAATTGCTGAAAAAAAAAACTAAATAAGGATGAGGTACTGAATCACACCCTGAAGTTTTGAATTCCCCAAACATTTTTAAATCGATTTTAAATATTATTTTGTGAAATGTTAATGATACCAAGTTGACAACTCTAACTAAAATGTGATTTTTTTTTGTCACATGGACTGCTAAAAATAAGATATTTGATTAAATAAGAATCTTTAACTAAAAAGTCAATAGAGGAGCAATCAATCTGTTTTGCTAAATTAATAAGCAGCATTCGTTAGTTGTTTTATTTATAATCAAACATATTCAGCTTAAAAGATGTGATTTTTTATAAGGAATAAAAAGGTGACAGATTCCGGGCGTGAATTTTTCAAATGTCCGCTCAGTTTTACGTTACTCCTAAGTGACTTTATACTCGTGCAAAATTTCAACAGAATAGGTTCAATAGTGCCTAAGATATGTGCATTAAAGGTTTGACGGGTTTAGATAAGTCACCCTGTAGATCCGTAAAAACTAAATGTAGAACTTATCTATTTTCAAATATGGAAAGCTCTCGGTCCATACTACTACCCATTTCACTATGTCCATGTAAGTACGGTACACCTTGTATAACTTTTTCTAATGAATTTTAATTCCGTATGACTTTTTTGTCTAGTTCCAAAGGTCCCAACATAAAAGTTAATCTCGAAACAGATACTGTTATTAAATAATTCTTTTGGAAAAATACTAGAGGGTAATTACCTCCATTACACTCTCGTCTGAATACGCGGCTGTTTCCCATAAACGACAGTCACCCCCGATTTCGGCAAAGTGGCATGAGCAATTCTTCAAGGGATGGCAGCGGTAGTCTTACCGAAACCTAACCACTTGACTTAATAAGCGGCTGATTTATGTGAGTTGAGCGACTGCTGTTGGCAACACTGTTTTATTACCGATCTCACCGCATATTTCACCCGCTGCTCCTGACACAGATCGCTTTATTTTGCTATATGTTTTCCCGCTAGAAAAATGATAAAGACTCTCGCTAGAAGTAACGAAAATATTGAGGGGATGAAGAGATATTTACAGTGACTATAACAGCTTGTGCTTTACCAGCGTTGCCAGTCATACCAGTAATGGTAAATTAATTGTGAACTTGGGTTTTTTGTCTCCTTTCATTGTGGTTTGGTATTTTCTTTCTATTAGTCATTGTCTGACAAGATGGTCCGCAATACATTTTGCTTTATGTCAAAGCACGTCAGTCAGATCGTTATTATGTTGGCCTGGTCACCCAGCCACCAAACATGATTAAAAGGAAGCGGAAGAAGAAAACAGAACGAAAAGGAGGGACAGCAAAGGGTATGCTCACACACAACTGTTGGAAAAGGCGTCAGAGCAATGTTAAAAATCAATGTAGTAATTTAAAGTACCAGAAAATAATTTGTTTTTGATAGAATATTGTTTACGTTATACGGCAACGCGCAACAAAGGGTTGCAATGCGGTTCCGCTTGTTCATAATATCGCTGAGCCTGATCATTTATGTAATCCTCTAAATAAGGCATGCCGAGATCTCTGTGTAAGGTGTCCTTTAAGGCATTGCAGAACTCGCATGTGTGTCTTTGCTGGAAAGCATCAAGCCACACATGCGTATCTAAAGGTGGGTGATGGTCATTCTGTAAAGCCGATTTTTTGTTAATCAAACTCAGTTTTGAAGATATACATAATAAAGGATTAAGAAGTAATTTGGAATTTAGGTTTCAGTGTTTCTGTGTGTTTCCACCAGAGCATACCTTTGTAAACTGTAATTTAAAGGTATCTGACGGAATTCGCCCATTGTACCAGAGTAGAATAGTTAATTTTGATCAGCCATGGATCTGCCCACTCTAACACCGCAGAGTCTAGCCAATCATAGCCCAGGTTACCTGAACAGGACGGGATCACTAATACAGTGACATCTACACAGATATAGACTTCACAGTTGCTGGGGCTAGAGACGTCGTAAATGAACAAAGAATAAAAGAGCCGTCCAAGGACCGGACCCTGAAGAACACCGGCCCTTATAAGCTGTATTCTTCACAGTGCATTGTTCATTTTGATTCGAAATTTATTTCCTTCGAGACAAGACTTGAGAAGTTTTAGAAGCCAGAAAATAAATAAAATAAGTAAGTATTCATTTTTTATTCCAATTTTTATTTACAGAAAAAAAATCTGAAACTCAGTCATGTTTCAATAAACACAACTACATCGCTATAACATTTAAAGATTTGAATATTTGAACAAAAATACATTTAAAACACGATTTGCAATGTGGATAATACGAAGTCCACGTTTCCCATTTCATAGTAAATAAATATAGAAGCCAGTCTCAAAAACGCACAAAATACGGCCAAGAGAACAACTGCAAACTAACTTAGTCATGTTTCTAACGGTCTAAGGATATTATATCAATTATTTCCTACAAATCGTTTCCTTTCATATCAATGATGAGAACGATCGACATCAATTTAAGGCAAATTTTTTGACAAAATATTGAAAAAACGGCCCATCTAGAAGACCTTGCGAATTATAGGATTGATCCGACGAAAAACAGTAGTTAGGGTTCTAAGTTGGCAGTTATGACCTGTGGAATCGAATTTGACCCACGCCCATTATGACCCCAGATACATACAAAACTTTCTCCATGACCGGTTATAGAGTGAGTAAAATATTTAGTAACCTTGGTGGACAAGAAAATGAATAAATTGAACGTCCTATATAATAATGATTATAGGACTTTATTGGTGAATAGAAAAGTCACAAACGGGCAAAATCTAGTCTGCATTGATAACTTAAGCCAGTGGCCGGTTGTCGAAGCTCTTGCCTAGCAATAAATAAATATTTGTTCCTAGTCGATAAGCAAAGGTTAACTTGAAGATAACTGGCGCCAAAGTTACTTTACCGGCCTAGGGTATAAAGGGATGATCGGGATGTAGAGTGGAACTCAACGCCCGGAAACCCTATCCATAAACTACACTTTACTGCCCGGTCGAATCTAAACCAATATTTCGCTCGAAGTTCATAGTTGCAAGAAGTTATCCTCGACTGACTATGAGGTAAAATAAAAATTTAGAGTATGTGGACATGGCATGAATAAGTTGATCGTACTATACCCCCGCGGTCAGATATTTTATTCATACCGGGAGATGTAGTGTACTTTATCACTAGGTCTTCCGGGCGTAAAAGTCCCACAGGTTTCTTTATTCTGTAAGCCCATGTAGTAACTTCAATTATTGGAACATGTAAAATCACTTTATTTTATAAATTCAATTTACATAAGCTGTTTGAGCAGCTAGAGACATAGAGTTGGTATTACAACAAATAAGTTGTTAATAAAAAGAGTTGTCAGTTTAGCTTGCACAAAAGCTCTCAAAACTTTTCAAGAGAATCCCGTTCATTTTCAGACATAGAAAACCAATTTGTGCGTCTTTCCACCATCTGGATTGTGCAGTGTCTCGATGTGTGACGAACCCCGTTTTGATGCCAGATCATCATGCATATTGTGACGGTAGATAAATTTAAGCTCGTTTTTAGTAGAAGATACCTCAAGGTTTCCTTCATTAGTATTGAAATTGTTGGGTTTGTCATTCAGACCAGATAATTTCCAAGAGTATTCTGAACTAGAATCTGACTCTGAATTGTATGTATTTTGTTGCACCAACAATGGAATGCCACTATTCGAATTTTGTTGATTTGTATACGATATGCCTGGCACAGCATACCATCGAAAGTTTCCAATACGGGAGCTTGATGATTCGTAATTTGGAGCAGCTGTTGTGGAAGCGGTATTATAAACGCCATAATCCGAATTAGACTCTTGAAACGTCAATCCAATTTTTGGAACTGGTACAACTCTATACTCTGCTTGTTTAGAAACTGCTGATTCTGGTTGAGTGACTTGAACTTCTGGAACTTCTGTGGATATGGGTTGAGGATAAACAAACGGATTGTCGAATGTTTCTGGCATATTATAAGAACTATACTGAATATGCTGTTGTTGTTGTTGTTTACTTCCTTCATTACCAGTCTCTGTATCTGAATAATACAAGTCATTAGAGAACTCTGGATTAGATGTGGAAGAGGCAGGCCTGGTAGTGGTTTGCACATGAGCAAACTGCAAGTTATCAAACTTGTACAAGAAGTTACCATTTTTTCTGTTTTTTATTTGACCTGATTTACTGGGTTGGACATTTTCTTTGAAAAGACCCGGATTTGTATTCTCTACCTGCTCCTTCAGATTTCCCGTTTGTTGCACTTGATAGACAGATGGTGATTGTTGCTCATCCGTATAAGAACTATGAGGTGCTGTTTGGTTTGTAGTTTTTATTTCTTCTTCTTCAAATTCAGATGAATGTGAGTAGTCCGCACTAGACTCTAGTGTCGGCTTTCCCCAAAAACTACCAGTTATGTTGCCGAGTTTTTTAATCAGAATATTATTTTGTGTAGTTGTTTGGTTCGTGGATTGTGCATACTCGTACAGTATAGTTGTAGTTTCTGAATGATTCGTGAAAAAGTCAGTTGGTATGTCTGAGGTATCTTGACTAAAGTGCTTTGAAGTCATATGCTCTGTTGCTTCTTGATTAGGAAATACTTTGGTTCCGTTTTTATAGGATTTGCGTTCTGCGTGGCTTATAGATCCCATTTGAGGAGAAAAAGTTGTGATGTTTGAAGAGGGCAGTTTCATCACCAGTCTGTGAGTTGTGATTTTTAAAAGAAAAGGACTTACGGTAGTTGTGTAGCCTTTTCCAGTTAAGTTGGTATATTTTGGAGAGTTGTACTCTATTTGAGGTCTTATGGTGTAGAATTTAGAAGCTGGTCGGTTCATTGAGAGATGTGCTTCGTTATTATTGGCAGGTTCTGTTGGATGGAACTGATTTGTGACTTCAGCCTTATTGCTGTAATTGGGGGCTTTGGATTGAAGTATTTCAGTAGTTGCTTCTTGTGCCATAAAGGTAAACGACTTTGTATATGGTAGCTTGATTTCTGATGAACCAACAGGCATTTCTGTTGAGTGTCTATTCTCATTCTCAAGAGAAGTATTATCTTTTTGATTAATAGCCTGATCCACAAATTCTTTTTGCAGCTTTGGAGTAGAATATTTTTGTGGAATGTGTTCTACAAGTTTTGTTGGATACGCTGAAGTGAAGCTTTCTGAAATAGGCCCCTTTGCTGAATAATGATTATGAACAAAAGTCTCAGAATGTGGAGTGGGTTGGTTGGCAAATGCTTCATGTGACTTAGAAGTTGACGATTCTGAAGTTACTAGTTTTATTTCAAACGTGTCACCTATCTCGGCATTCGTAGCATGTTTTATTGGAGTCAGCTGCTCCGAAAATTCATCATAATATTTGGATGAAGAAGTTATTGGTTTAGGTATATCTGTTTTACTTTCTTGATCCTTTTCAGAAGTTTCATGCTGTGAAGTAGCAAAGTGACTTATTAGAGATGCTCCGACTGTAATAGTGGTTCTAGATGTGTGGTCTTCACTTTTAAATATATCAAATTCTGTAGATATATTAGGACGCTTATGTTCATATTTAGAACTGGAACCATTAGATATAGGTAACCCAAAAGTAGTGGCAGGTGAAATGGTAGTTGGATTTGTGAATATAGCTTTGATGAAAGGTTTTACAGTACTGAACTGGCTTACAATTCTTCCCACATGCTTAGTTGCTGATGGGTCTGGAAGTAGTTGGTGCTTTCCTAATAAATAGTCTTTCTCAATATGAGAAGTAGAGTCTGTTGTAGTAGGGTGATTCATAACTTCTCTTTCAGATTGAGAGATCGGTGCTTCTGGGATAGTTACTTTTGATCCACTCGTATAGTATTTGCCAAATGCATCGTTGAATTGCGATGGGACAAGATTGTCAGTATATCCCTCCTGTGGAATGGTGTTTGGGTATTTTTGAATCGCCGAAATTGTTTCTAATGTGTGATCTCCGCCAAAATAGGTTTCAGATTCTGTTAGTTTGTGCTGGTTTTCGTAATTTGTAGCAGATTGGAAAGAGTATTCTTGCTTTGTGGGATGCGGAATCGCTGAAGTATTATTATTGGCCATGAAAGTACCAAAACTCCAAAACGTTGGACTATACAGTTCATCGGTCGCTCCGTCGGGTTGATCGAAGATTTCTGTAAAGACGACGGAAAATGTGATACACCGGGCGATTCTCCAAGGTGACTCACCCCTATAACTTTTTGTCGTATTTTTCCCATGTTACTTGATTAGAAATAAAGCGATGCACAGGATCCAAGGCATTCTAGATCGAAAAATAAAAATTGAAATAAAAATGATTTTATTTGTCAAATATTGACAAGGGAGGCATTGTTGAGTTCAGAATATCATTCTCAATCGAAATAAGTAAAAATATATAGGGTGTCCCATTTAAAAATCGAAAATTGGAGTCGTTTCCGGTCAAACCGGAAGTACGTCAAAGCAGATGGATATATCAAAAAATGTAAGTTCATCTATAATACGGAACCCCTAAATTTCGTTTTTCTATCTTCCATAAAAAAAAGTTATAGGGGTGAGCCACCTTGGAGAATCACCCGGAATTGTTGTATGATGTGATGTACTCTAAACGATTTATGACAGCTTTTTCTATCAGTTTATTAAAGAGAAGCTACAAATAGTAACACTAGAAGTCTATTTGAAATTATACTTTAAACAAAAAAATGCGGAATAGTTCAATGTCTAAAAGTGTTAGGATCAACGTTCCTTTATCTGTAATTTCCGGATTTACGTAATAACCAACCTCTTTATCATGGTTTGATATCATGAGCACTTGGATTCTAGCACAATGTTCGCTTATGCAAAGCGCTCTATGAGTTTTACAAGCTTATCAGTACTGCATTCTTGTTCCTTTTTTGATCAACATGAAAACCCTCAATATTTTTTTCTTTATCTTTAGTATGCTTTTGTGATCAGCGTATCTCTAGAATAGCCATCAATGTTAGGTCGTTATCTGCTTACCTCTGGGGTATTCTGTGCTCGATTTTTCAAATCTTCCCACAGCCTTGGTAGTTGTCCTTAAACCTTCAAAAGGAGTTGACCAAGTATCAGTTTTCTTGTGTTCCACCATTTGAATCAACTCTTCTCGACGTAACGGTCTCGAGGTATACAAAGGGGGTGAAGTATGGAACAGTCCTGTAATAACCGAAATCATATATCAATAGCTTTTATATTCAACATCAGACTAGATTCACTACAAATTGAAAATAGTCTTGAACTTTTTCTGGAAATAATGTTTTTTATAGTGATGAGAAAGGATTGACCGTTCATATTGGTGCTTGAATGCACGAATACTTCTCCTTCAGTCTTTCACTTTATCGATCGGAGTCTATTTAATTTAAGATTTCATAAACTACATTGCAAGTTGCTGATTTAACCGCTGCAAGGATTAATCGCGTAATAAAGAACAAACAGTAGGTATTATATTTTTTCTATTCTCTTATTTTGTGTTTCAATTTCTGTATAACGCTTTTGATACACACCTCCAGTAAATTTTCTCCTTATTTGTTCTTGATAGGTCCCTGCAAAAGAATCGAAGAGGTTTGCCCATGTTTTGGGAGTAGTATATGAGACCATCTGTGCTAATTCCTCAGAACGTAGAGGTCTCGAGGTGTATAGAGGGGGTGTATTAGGAAGAATTCCTGAAAAACTGTTAACGTGTCAACTAACCTTTCCATGCAAAATCTTTTTATATGCATGCGATATAGGTGAAAGATAAGCAAAACCTGAGGCCACAAAATATGCAAAAAAAAACTTTTTTGGTCTTTTTACGCGGATTTCCAACAGAAACAACACAAAAATCTGAAAATCAGTGAACAGATATAAACGGCTTTATTCAACAGTTCGTCTCAAATGTCTTTTGTACATCCAGTTGTGTTATGCAAAAGTCGATTTTAGTTAAAATCCTATATTGATGTATTACGTACAAAACATACGTACATATGAACTTCCTTTTTCTTAAAATGAACTAACCCTCCTATTTCCCCTTTCAACGAAACTGCTTCAAGTATCATGTGATGATTTAGAAATTGATGAAAAATAACTCGAAAACCATACCTCTTGAGAAATCTTCTTGATGTTTTGGTACCATTTTTGTAGTTGGAAAAGGTACATAGGGCATTGTCCATGTCTTTGGGGTTGTGTGCGGTAGCATTTGAGCCAGTTCATCTGGACGAAGTGGCCTCGACGTAAACAGAGGAAGTGGGGGATAAAAAACTATTGTAGCTACCACAGGGTACATCAGTGCTTGAACATATATAATCTATAAAACAATTACATCGTTACTATACGGAAGTAGGTGAGAAATCTGTCGATATCCGCCTATCAATGACTTGCCAATCTGATACGATAAAGTCGCCGTACTTATGAGATGCTAATGAGTACGAAATGCCGCTGTCTGTAGTGGATCATGGTTACAGAAACGGAAAGCAAACACTTATAATTACATCGCTGGTTTTATCAAAGTTTCCATTCATTTCAAAATATACACAGTGACATTAGAAGTGTTACACCAAGAAAGAATAATTTACTGAACTTGATTTTTTGGCAGTGAGGTAGTGTTACATCAAGAATGAAACGATAACATTCTCACGAAATTTTATTGACAAGTAAAAAGAAAAAAATTAATAATGTGGTGTGCGACACCGCAGCTGAATACACTCCTGTATACGTCTAGTCATCGACCAAATGAGATGATCGATGATTAGCTGTGGCAGAGTCTAACACTTATAGTATCACTGTCACATTTAAAAACGCAATTTGTTACCGAATGATTCACATGTTTTTCCAGCTATTAACTTTTTACACAAACCCCGTATATTTTAAATGCCAATTTACTAGAATTCGACAAAAGAAAATAATGGATTCGCAAAATATAAAGATGCTATCTAACATTATCATTAGCATCAGCTAACGCTAAACATCTCATTATATATCTTATTATATATAGAGACTCATAAACAAATACATTTTGAGAAAATCCATTTATCGCATGTTATACATGACGTTTTAGGGCAGATTTCTGAAATATTGACAATTATACAGGGTGTCCCAATTTTGACCTACATATCAAAGTTGTGATTTTTTAAATGGAATGCCTCATATTCTATTACATATTTGGATAAACCAATTCAAAAGAAGAAGATTGATATAACATACCATGGGGTTTTGGTAGTTAGCTACTGAGATGTAAGGTGTTTTGCCCAGAAAAACCGTCCACTTTGGCTACTCCTCAATCCGCCATTTCGAAATTTGGAGTGCTCAATTTTGTATCAAAAAAAACTTACACACCTCAGCTTTTATCTTATGTGTTACTTGTTCGAATTTTCATTTTTGCTCATACAGGGTGGTCAAAAACGCAAATTTTACTTTTTCTCAAAAATTTCAAATGTATCACCCCGTGTATTTGTGCAAGTTCGGATTCAATTTTCAGATAAAATCATTAGATTTTGAGTTTCTAAGCTTTTAATCGAACAAAACACCAAAATTAAGGAAAACAATCGCATTATACATGAAAACAAAAGACAAACAGTGGGCTATTTCCATATTGCCACTAAGAGTACAGATTTGAGGTAAAAACTAATAGCAATCAGAACAGTATAAATCAGCGTCAAGCGTAATAGGGAAAAACAACTATAACAACAACAAAAACAAACAGCTATAACTACTCAAGAACTAATCTACAAAAACTGCTCGAAAATATCTCCACCGTGTTGAATACACAGCCGTAGTCTTTGGATAAATGACCATTGCACATCCCTCAGCAGGGACCTCGGTTGGCCGGGTGGGTCAGAGTGTCGTGCTACTGATCAGCCGGCCGGCCGGGCCGCGAGTTCGAATCTCGCCTTCGGAAATTACATTCCGAAGCCATGGATGTTGTGGCGTGATGTGTTAATACATATTTGTAAGCAACCAAGTAACTGGCTGCATGGACTCCTAGTCCTAACGCCAAAAAAAAAAACATCCCTCAGCATGTGTGCCCTTATGTTCAGAAAAGCATCCTTAATCCTTTCCTTCATATTTTCCGGGGTAGATGGTGGATATCTATAAACCTCTTGCTTAACGTAACCCCATAGAAAGAAGTCCATCGGTGTCATGTATGGTGATCTAGGAGGCCAAGATATAGGCCCATCACGACCGATCCAACGATTGTTACTCCAGGTGTCCAAATAGTTACGCACACGATTATGATAATGCGCAGGTGCGCCAACATGCATGTACATATGCATCCGAGTTTGCAGGTTGACATCCTCCAAAATCAAATCTATACTCTTAGTAGATAGCAATATGGAACTAGCCCACTGTTTGTCTTTTGTTTCCATGGATGATGTGATTTTTTTCCTTAATTTTGGTGTGCTATTCTATTAAAAACTTAATAACTCAAAATCTAGCGATTTTATCTGAATCAAACCTTATACCCAAAAAAGTTTATAAAAAGTCGAAATTTTTGAGAAAAGCTACAATTAGCGTTTTTGACCACCCTGTATGAGCAAAAATGAAAATCCGAAAAAGTATTAAATAAGATAAAAGATGAGGTGTGTAAGTTTTTTTTTATACAAAACTCAGCACTCAAAATTTCAAAATGGAGGACTGAGGGGTTACCGAAGTGGGGGGTTTTTCTAGACAAAACACCTTATATCTCAGTAGCTAATTACCAAAACGCCATAGTATGTTATATCAATTGTCTTCTTTCGAATTGGTTTATCGAAATATGCAATAAAATTTGAGGCATTCTATTTGAAAAATCTCAACTTTGATATGTGGGATATATATATATATATAATTGGGACACCCTGTATAACGGCCAATATTTTAGAAATGTGCACTCAAATGTCATGTATAACATCCCATAAATAGATTTTCCCAAAATGTATTTGTTTATGAGTAATATTCCGTCCACACATAGATGGGCCACCCGTATATTATTTAACTCTTTCAAAAGGTGAAGTATTATTATAAAATGTGTTGTAAATTCTTCGCAGTCTACAAAAACAGAGCATAAATAACGATGTATTATAACGTTTACAGAAAAAGAAAAAATCACAAATCAAGTGATATTAAAATATACGTAACAAATTTGAACTTCCATGGTAATAATCGAAAAAGTTAAGAGCATTTTGCAGTCGTTCACCGCAACTGCCTTGATTCCCTACGCTACTGGCACTGTCGAGGAAATATTGCAAAAAAAAATTTTAAATGACATATATTTTTTTGATGTTATAGACATGTACATAATTCACTCCCATCGGTCTGTCTGTCAGTATGTCGATTTAATGCTTGGCCCATCTATAAATAAGAAAGTACTTTTCGGAGTTTGAAAAAAGTTTCACACACTGTTGCTACTATACCAGGGATCAAAAAGCTTTATAGTTTTTCAAAATCGGTTTAGTATCGGCGAAGCTAAGGGCAAAAAATGAAAAACATACAATTCGCTCAAACTTGGTTTTTTGACGGTTCGAAGGTTCATCGAGAGATAACCTTTAGTTAAACAATACTTGCCTTTTTGAAGAGCGGGTGTACAAATTTTCTCTATGGGGTGGGGGCAAATCCTAAAAATCCCCAAAATTGTACACAAAAGCATGCCAAATATGCAAATTTAAGTGTATAAGCCTGTGTGTTTGACTTAGTCCATTCAACATGCCCGTAGCTAACTTTTTACTCAGAGGGTCTACCTTGTGTCGAACATAGTCCTTTATTTTTCCATTTCGTAGGGAGTGCAGGGTCAACCTACTTGACCACATTTTTTTTTGTTGAAATCCAAAATTGTATCGGAGACAAAAAAAGTGAATGATACTGTAAGAATATTCCTCCAAAAAATATTTCTATGTTATATCTTTTTCAGACTATTACCTGAAACTCAATGTTACTAGATGAGGTTAGTCTTTCGGTACACCTAAGTGCAGAAATCGTTACTGATTCAAACGGTTAAAGACGAATAAATATCTGCATTCTAGAGATATTGAAAGATCACTGCTGACCTATTCCGTTTGGTTGAACTCATAACATGTTTTTATATTTTGTTAAAACTATGCCCATAATTATCTAATTCTACGTAGTTGACGTTTCTTGAATAAATGGATAAAGTAAAATAAGTTTCAGAAAAATGCGTCACTACTAGGTTAAAATATATTAATTTTCAGTAGTTTCAAATACAAGGGTTGAATCTGAGATCAAGTTTATATGATCCGCGTATGACTCAACACCCTTTTTGAGGATGTACAGTATGTGCCAAAATGTAGGAAAATTTAATAGCAACATTTTCTAACTTATTGATGTTATATACAGGGTGACTTTGAAGTTGAGTCATTAATTTTCAGATAATGATTGTAGAAGGAAGATAAACCAAAATATGTGTGTAAAAATAAAAAAAAATAAAAAAAAATTTTTACCTTGTTTTATAAAGTATCCTCCCAACAAGTATTTCAGTGCGGACCTGTATTTGATCGTGAGGTGCCCTGTGAGGTCTTAAGTCACCTGATTCACGAGCCCGTTGTACTACATTAACAAAGGCACGAGGGGTTGGTTGCACTCGATTGGGAAACCGATCCGCATAAACATGTGCCATTTTTTATTTCATTTGAGCCATGCAACAGACACTATTCACACGCGACTGACACTAACTGTATGTATAACTGAACTGAATGAAATAAAAACATCGTTCCAAATTCTTTCGCTTTTTTGTTTCCCATGCGATGAACCGATAAGGTGGATTATATCCGTTGTTGCCAAACACGAGTACATGATATTATTATTGAGACAGGGCGGTACTCAAGCTTCCAAAGGGCTATAACTTTGTTACTTTAATTTTACCAGAAAAATGGTAAAGGAAAAAAACATTTCTTTTGATCAGATCTACTCACTGTTAAAATAAATGACTCAACTTCGAAGTCACCCTGTATATAATCTATAACAAACTTACCATAATCGCTGAAGTAAAGCAATCATTACTAAACATTATTGTGATGCCAAAGGCAGGTAGCGGCATACTGAATATAACATTAACAAGTTGGGTGAGTAAGTCTAGAATGATTTCAATCAAAAAACTATTAGACTCGGTTGTTCTGTTTTGACTGCAGACGAGCAGACACAATACACGCATCAGGCTACCTGTTTGACTGGAAAATATATTCCGAGGATTAAAAATACGATTACATATTTATTGCCTTAACTCAGTAGGATGATCCGGATGGAACTCATCTAAATTGAACCATCAAGTATAGACAATCAAGCATAGAAAGTCCCCAAATACGTAGGAATATGTTTGATTATATTCCTTTTATATCTTCATGATCGTAGAAAACGAAATGACTAATTTTGAAGATTTTGTGATAGAGCTATTTTCAGGATGTCAAACTTGAGCATTTTCATATATTGTACTAAATACAAAGATATTTTCTCAATCTATCCGCCTATCTTATAATGATGCTGGCTGGAGTGAAAATAATATTTTCCCTATACGAAATAAGTAAAAATACTACAAGGATTTAACGTCTTTGAATAACAACAGGTGAATATAGACTAAAAAGCTAAAACGGGTGAGCATAAATACAATTACCAAGATCTGCTTAAATACCTATAAGTTCCCAACATGGACAAAAAGAAATGAGACTACAAAAATTTAAAAACTCATCAAGGGAAAGTCAAGTCGCATTTTCGCCCTACAAGCAGAAATATGGATAAATATAACTATCTGAGATAGCAAAGTTGATCATCATGACTACTAGCAACACTGGTAGTAACAAAGTAATCGCGTAATTCCGCATCTTGTAAGTGTAACCAAAATTTCGGAAAGATTAGTGCTTAGGGGCCGTTCAAGTATTACGTGAGCACTGTGGGGGGGACGGGGGGTCTTTGCTTTGCTTATTTTGGATGACATTTGGGTAGTGGAGTCTAGATGATGATTACGTCATCGGTAGTTATTTACTTTTTTACACGAATGGCAACCCTCACATTGTCTTTGCTTAAAAACGAAACGCATATAGAACCGAGTAGGGGAATTACCGCGCGGTGTTCACTTGTCTAAATTTCCTCTATCAGTGTATTGTTTCGTTTGGATATTATAGCGAGTAAAGGTATTGTAAGCATAGTAAAGCAAATTAACATATGTGTTACCATTGATTCCATTAGCCAAAGTTTAATGTTTAAATAAGATGTTGTTTCACATAGACAAATCCAAGTTATACCAAAAATGGTTTGAAAGTTTAAAAAAATCTCATACAAGTACAAAAGTACAAAATGTATAAAAGTTAGTTAACGAAGTGTGGCGAAATTCCATTTTCCAAGCAAAATCCGTCAAGGAACTAGATATTATTGTATCTAAGAGAATCGAAGAAGAATTGCAAGCGGCGACTAAGAATAAATCCAATCTACTAAATTTTTTTTCTAAGGTGAGTGACGAAATTATTTTAGGTTCCTATGAGTACTAGAAATATTAGAAATCGCCAAAAAGTTTCTCTTTACTGATTAGAAAATATTATGGCCTATCTCAAAGTATAGAGGTAATATTCATTATATTACAGATTTATTTCTTATGATTGATTCCGTCAATCGGTCACATAGTACAAGATGTTAGTTTTATACATATATACAGAAAACTAACACGCTGCATTTTGTGACCGGAACGAGTTGCTCGTTTAAACATATTAGATTTAAAGCCATAGGGTTTTGTATTTACCATATATATTGCCATACTTTGTATTTATGTAGCTTAATAAGAGAATCTTTAGCAGAAGCCATAGAAAGTTTTTATTTTTAGGCAACCTGTAAACCTGCAGAAAAAAACACAAATTATACAGTCAGCTTCAAATATTAAAAAAGGGGAAGAAGATAAAATAAAACCTGGTAATGAATCACAACAGCAATGCAAAATTAATGAAAATACAGACAAACAGAGAGTAAAACCTTCTCCGGAAGCTATGAAAAATAAGATTGCTCTACTCGAAAAAAATCTAAATGCTTTGTATTCTGTCAGAGATACTATGGCAAGCCGTGCTGAAGTTGATAAACAGATCATTAAGTTGCGCGAGGAAATAAAAACAGCAAAACAGTCTTTAAACAGGAAGGTTCAAAACGCAGTTTCCCAGAAGAAACACAGGGATGATATGAAAAGAAAGTTATTTGTCATGAAAATCCAGAAATAAAAAAATACTATCTCTGAGGGATTCAGTGGGACGTCCTAATCTTGAAAGCAATCAACATTCACTCTTGAAAACAATCGCGGATATAGCTTTATTTGGGAATGCAGCAGATGATAGAAGACGAACGGAATCAATTCGCAAGGTAAAAACTCTTGATGAACTCACACAAGAATTACGTAAAATAGGATTTGACATTAGTCGCAGTGGGACATATCTTCGTTTGATTCCCAGAAAATCTAATTCTGCAGAGGGACGAAGACATGTATCGACAGTCCCTGTTAAGCTCATTCGGGCTCAAACTGATCACCACAAGACCCACTTAGATAGCAAGTTCGCTGAAACATCAATCCATTATTTAAAGAACATAGCATCCATACTTGGACCAGATCAAGTATTTTTCATATCTCAAGATGATAAAGCTCGAGTCCCTATTGGCGTAACTGCGGCAAATAAGCAAGCACCTCTTCTAATGCACATGGAATATTGAATCAAACTGCCTGATCGCGATTGGGTAATCGCTGAACGTCATAAATTAATACAATCTCTTTATGCTGGTATCAAAATCACTTCCAATATGCTAGCACAACCGCAAGCCGTTGGATATTCTGGACCAACATACATCGCTATTCGAAGTGGAAAGCACAATTCATCCACTGCTAATACTCATGCTCAGGATTTCGAGACGCTTCTCGAACTTGAAGAGTTTTGACCATTAGCTAAAACTGACCATGGACTAGTAAAACCAGTGGTAATCATGACGGTTGATGGAGGGCCAGATGAAAATCCACGTTATCAAAAAGTCATAGGGTTTGCTATACAACACTTTAAGCGACATGATCTCGATGCATTGTTTTTAGCTACCTATGCTCCTAGAAGAAGTGCGTATAACAGAGTAGAGCGCAGAATGGCTCCTCTTAGTCGGGAACTGGCTGGTTTAATATTGCCTCATGACCATTTTGGGTCTCATTTGGATGGACGTGGCGTTACAATTGATGAACATTTAGAAAGATCTAATTTCGAATTTGCAGGACATGTATTAGCTGAAGTATGGAGTTCAATGGAAATTGATGGCTATAATGTTGATGCAAAATATATTGGGGCAGGTGAACAAGATCTTCCTGATTTTCCAGACATTAAATGGTATTCAGAACATGTGCGTGAGAGCCAATACTTGCTTCTAATTGTAAAATGTAGAAATACAGAATGCTGCCGTCCAAGAAGTGGCCTATTTAGATTTCTTCCACCACCTGTAAAAGTAAAACAAACAGTTGATGACTTGGTTTTGGATGAAGGAGGGCAATTTCTTAATCTTCCAGTCAATTTATCTCTACGCTTAAGTGCTTCACTCAAAGATTTCCTGCAAATGCCCTACGATTATTTTTGTCCGACGGTAAAATTAAGGCTATCAAGTCGAACATGCAAAAGGTGAGGTCTTTATCATGCTTCCGTCAAGTCACTAAATCGTCACATCGAAAATATCCATAAAAAAGTAAACACGCACACTGATAGAAAAGTTAGACCTGTCGTCGTTAGTCGCTGCTCGTCGTGCTAATGAACTGATGTGCATTATTCAAAATTTAGAGCACCATGATGTTGAATGGCTCGATGAGAACGACGTAGACATTCCAAAATCCAATGAAAGCGAACAAACTCACAACACTGAGCAGCAATCGAAGCAATCCAAGGTCATCGAAAACTTAGAATCATGGATTCTGGTTTCATGGACTGAAGACTGAATCTGAATTTAATATATGTACCAAAAATTTAGAATAAGTTTGTTATGTTAGTAAGATATAATATTTTTGTCCTTTACTCTATGTTGAATACCGTATCAGTAAAATATAATCTCTATCCTAAATCTATTTTCTTATTTTTTTCAAATTATAATTATAACGTTATAATTATAATATTAAGAAAAAAACAATACAATAATTGACAAATGTTTACGTAAGCATGGGGGGAGGGGGTAAGAGCTTTGCTTACTTTTGCTGACAAGGAGGATGGGAGGGTAAATAATTGTAATAAATCTGCTTACGTAATACTTGAACGGCCCCTTACAGAAAAATAGTATTAATTATGGTTCTTCAAAATTTTGTCCTCAGATTTTTCACACTGAATCTAGGAACTGCATTCCCGTCATTACAGGACCAATAAACAAAATATTGAGTACGAATCACTTTGATAACTTGAAGTGATTTGAGATTGCATCAAATATGAATACATATCTTTTGAAAATAGATAATTTCATATTAGATCTTATAGTCCTATAAAAAACTTTAGTCGAGACAACTTATAGCCGAATATACGTATAACTGACTTAACAGCACAACAACATCGCCATCACTATTCTCTTACACCTCACAGGTCTGGTGGATGAATTTTGAGGTGATTATCATCACACCAACCTGTTTAGAGTAGCATCATTTTCTATTAATATATGATAATGGATCATCGTCTGGTTTTTCAACCTTTATAATATGTGTTCCATCAATCATGCCAACGATTCTAGGAAATCTATTGTTTATTATAGAAATACTGCTTTGTCCTATATAGGTATTTCTTCTTCTGTTAGCCATTTTATGATTTCTGGTGCCAGACTCCCCAAAAAGTTGGTCAATCTGGATATAACTGCATGAAGGGTTACTCACGGAAACATTGAACCTATCAGCTACATCCCTGAAGATGGTTGTTTGATATCCAGCAAACCTTAAATGTTTACAGGTTTCTTTATACGGAGTTAGTTTTCTATATGTAGCTGCCTCATATTTAAAATGGTTACTACCACGGAATTTTACTGAAATTTTTTCTGCGACTGTCTTGCTCACTCGAATATGTTACAAAAAATCGTTGCTCTT